TGTTAATCAAGGACCTAAGTTGTCTTAGGTTGATAGATTTTAATGAACAACAATATTAACTAATCATCTAAAAAATTTACATGGTTAGATATTGAAAAATCATTTTAAATTTGAATTAGCTAAATAAATAAATTATTTAAATAGACAAATTTGGAGAGTGATATAAACTCTCTCCTTCTATGAATTTCATCTTTGAAATTCACATAAATAGTAGATATTATTCCCTCATCTCAGATTCTCAAATCTAGACATTGTAAGAATAACTAAAAGGATTGGATACATGAAGCAAAACAATTTAATGAAAATTAAAGCATAATAGTCAGTCTATGGTCGACTATTCAAATACTTGACAATAGTTCTTTATCCTTATAATTTAAATACTTGACATTGTCAGTCTCCTTTACTCCTTATTACTCTTCAGCGACAATATATACCCTTGATGGATTACGGATAGTTGTTTTAACAGGCAATTCACTTTTTATATGTTTTGGTTTCTTGTAGACATAGCATATTTTCTAATTGAATTGACATCTACCGCTATGTTTTCTATTGCATTTATTGAAGTTTGGGATTATTGCAAAAGATGGGTTAGTGATCCCGAAAGGTTGGAATTGATAGAGAAGGGCTTAGGGTCTTATTCCCATACTTGGATGATTGGATAACTATTTGAGTGCATGCCCAATTGGCTATGGTCCGTTGCGGCTAAGTAAGCGACCCACTCTATTCTACCATTCAATCATTATAGCCTACCTACAATGATCCAATCTCTGATAGATTTTGACTTTTTCCATGGATTCGGTGGTAAAAGGGATTGTATGATTTTATTTCTTTATGGGAAAGGTGTAACTAAATTCTCGATTCTTACCTTGCATGTCCTCTTGGTTACAATTCATTTGGATTTGTCCTAATATCTTCCATTACTCTCATTGGGTGATGAAGGGCTAAGGATCCTTGCACTTTAATTATCCTTTAGGGGAGTGTATTCAATTGAAACTTTTAATAACTTTCTAAGATTTAAAAAGTTTGAAGGTATTCAATTGAGACTTTTTGAGACTCCCTAAAAGTCACGATGTACTCAATCAAGACTTTTATAGAAAAGTTACAATGTATTTAATTAAAACTTTCTAGAAGTTTCTATAAGTCTTAGGGTATTCAAATTTTAGTGACTTCCAGAAACTTTTATAAAAGTTTCTGGAGTATTAACTTTTGAGCAGAAAGTATTCATATAAAATATTAAAATTTGTCTTTTATTAATCACGAGATTTTGGGAGACTTTAAAAAAAAAAAAAAAGTTTCTTTCTTTTTTGTCTTTCCTTTAACCTTCTATGGACATGTATGATTAAATCTATTTTTTATTGATTATATTCCATTTATATTTCTTTCTCTCTCTTATTATTATTATTATTATTATTATTATTATTATTATATAAGAAGGGGAAGTAAAAGGGGAACTGTGAAAACTAACACCTCGTATGTGAGAAATCATACTAGATTAACATGAATTATATTTCAAATGAAAGTCTTCAAAAGTATTTCGAATTCCACAAAAAGTATATAAAAATTTTAAATGAAAATCCATAGAAGTCTATGAAAGACTTTCACTAATTCATATAAATCTATAAAAGATCTACAAAATCTACAAAAGTCATCACTTAAAAAAAGTCCATCAAAATCTTCGAAAGTCCCAATTGAATACACTCCTTTTAGTTTTGCTTGCTCTGCCTCTAAAGCTCGATTTATTGTGGTAAGTGCAATCCCTAGAGTTCTTACCATTTTTACATCTTTATTTAACTGATGTAATCAAGCGAGAAAAATATAACATCCTCTATTTTTGGCGACTTTTAGGAATTTTTTGGAGATCTTTACCAAGATTATGGGTAAGGTGCTATAGTTTAATATAGTTCAACTAGTGCCAAATATAAAATTTTGGAAACCATGCTATTTTTAAGGATGAGAAAGTTAAATGGCTCAAAGAGGGAAACTGTGGTGCAATCACTGATTGTGAAATTATGGACGATTATGGCCTATAGAATTTCACCAAGCGGCATAACAAGGGTCACACATTATATTAAAGAAATTTATTCCCCTAGCCTTATCATTATAAAGGATTAATAGCAGAAAACTTCCCTAAGAATGTTTCTATATGCGATATATCTCTTACCTATTGAAAATTGTAGAAAATTTCCCTGTTTGAAACCTTTTGTGCAAAAAATTTCATGTCGTCATGATCCATTAGATTTGTCTTTAAAAATAGTAAAAATTTCCAAAATTAATAAGAAATAATTGTAATTTCAGTACCCAAACCTTCTATTTTTGTTACGAATTAAATCCAACTTTCTTCCATGTAGTTCTGAACAACGAAATCGTCAAACCACAAAATCGAGCCCAAACCCTTTTTTTGAAACTGTTGGTTTGATTTCACTAGGATTCGTCAACGTTTTGATTTTGAACCGAACCAAATCGATTTGGTTTAGGTTTCAATCTTTGCAAACCATTTACCCAAAAAAAAATTGTAAATAAATTAGTCTAAATTTTATTTGACCTAATTAAAACTTAACACATTTCAATTAAAAAAGATACATCAATATTAGACATAATTCAATTAAACTCAATTCGATAATTGTACATCTCAATTAATTAATTAAATCATGTCCAGATACCATCAGTCATCACAACTGTGAATTTAAAATCCTCAAATTGGATAAAGTGTTGAACAACTGTTGCTAAATCATATTTATCAATCCTCTATTATAATTGAGTAGATAATTAAATATAGATTTTAATTCAAACTTACACATTTCATTTTCTTCTATTAATAATTTTCTCAAATTTTGCCTAAAAGTATCGTCTCATGATAAATATACCTTAAATTGAGAAAATGAGGATCAGTCGTGTGGGTAAAAGTATCGTCACGTGATTAATACACTTTAAATTCAAAGATTGAGGATTAGTTGCGTGGGTAAAAATATCGTCCCACGATAAATAACTTTAAATTGAATCATATTTACTTGCTATCAAACTCGAACATCACCGTAACAAATTGTTTAACTATTTATTTCTAATTATCCTACTAATTATCTAAAAGGTTATGAACTAAATATAAGAATGAAGTTTTGGAATTCTGAATCCATCTATTATTATCCTATTTCCAATTCTCGACACATATTATCTAGTATGATCTTTGTATCCTTGATAGTCGATAGTTTAATTATATTCAACTATTTTTCCACGTGGTGAGTCAATCATATTCTAAGCTTGACCCAATCCCGAATTCTTATACAAAGTAATGCATTTAATTATACGATTACCTATATAATTGCACAAGCCATAATTGCCATTTGCTAACACCAATTGATTTGTATGTTAACATTGTAATATATTAGACTTATCATGAACCCCGCCCCCCTGAAAAACAAGCAACGAATTACATAGATGGTGCTCTAGCATTCATGTAATTCAACAATGCATGAAACACCAATCAAGAACACGAATTCACTAAATAAATGGTTATTGAATTGAAAATACTCAAATATTAGTTTTCATCTTCATCCCAACACAATGAAGTCTTAGCCTAGCATGTTTATAATAGAATTACAAGTAGTGTTATGAAATCGCTCAGCACGTATGAATACAAGAGAAAGATAGAAAATCTAATTTTCACTTTTGATCTTCGATTCCAAGGCTCGATCTTCAAAATTTTTATGTTAATTGCCTTCAATAGGTTGCAAGAGTTTTCTCAAAGTAAAAGTATGATGAAATCCTTAATTTGAGTTTCTAAGTAGGTTAAATTGAGGCCAAAATGACATTCCAAGATTGCAAGAAACAAGAAATTGAGAAAAAATAATCCCCAAATTTTAGTGGCATGCTATCGCATGGTACTAAGCCTTGCAATCGCATAGAAAAATCATTGCTCGCGGCTTTTCTTCTAACATGCATTGCAATCGTTATGGTGACCTACCGTACACCTTCAATTTTAGACCAAGTGCATTTTAATCCATGTTTTCTATCTCTTGTATAGCTCTCGTTCCTTATAATTGTAATTAAGGTCCTCATCTTCCAAATCAAATATAATTGATCCTCAATCTCTGAATTATGTATTGAATCCATCCTTTTAGCTCGATTTTCATTCCTTTATGACTATGACACTTTCAATATCAAGTTTTACCTAAACAAATAATATATACACGAGATTAAATCCTAATCTTCCTAGTTTAGCGACCTAGATAAGTGCATAAAATACACTTGTCTAATTTTATTAAACCCCCATCTCTAGCTCTTTGCAAAAACATATTATAATGTGATGAAGGTACATGATTGAAACCGCACATTTATGTCCATCACTAGCCTCTCCAAATTGACAAATCCAACAGTTACTATCACTCAAAGGAAAATTAAGGTAGAAAAAATTATATGCCTTATTTTCTGAAGGGGAATACATCAATCAATAAAGCTGGCTGTACTAATGTGTTCCTTAAACCGACAATTCTAATTTTCATATAAAGTCTTTGAATAATCTACAAGTTTTAGTTGATAAGGTCCAATTTTTGATATATCTGTTTAATTTGATCTCGTTCATCAACTGGCTGCTCACATGTTTGCTTTCACGGATGAAGGTTGATGTTACATTATAACTCCCCGACATTATTCCAACAGTCCAATTCATAAATAATCCAACAATCCAACCAAGTCTGAAAAATAAAAGCATCAAGCCTCCATCATAATACCTGCTTTATCTCATAGCGCCATGGAAATATGTAATCAGAGCAACCAAATCTGAAATTAATACAAATTATATAGTTTTTGACATTTATTTCATCGAAGACTGAATTACTCTTTAAATTATTTAACTTTTCCAACTGTTTACACATTATTCTCCAAAGAACAACTTCCCTATTAGAAATTGGTATTTACAACGAGAAATATGTTTAGAGATAGAAAAAAATATTATTCTTTTGATTTATAATTCATAATAAAACTTTAATTATTCTCACACCTATTAGTGTGCTTTTGCACAGGTCCATTTTATTATGATGTGGCAGATTTTGATGGAAGCTTACCATCTATTCTCCCAAATCCATATTCATGGACCAAGGTATAAATACCTCTCTATTCTTCATGATTCAAGTCATGTACGTATGTCTATCTTTATAATATAGTTATATGGTTTTCAGGTTGCCAGTATCATATTCATTGATTCGCCTGTTGGTACCGGATTTTCTTATGCAAACACATCAAAAGGTTACTCTTCCTCAGACAAAAAATCAGCAAAAGATAATTACACATTTCTTAGGAAGGTAGGTCACCATCATCTATTATACATGTGATATTCCTATGCTGAAATTGAAGTAAATAGAAATAAAGTTCGATGTCAAACTTAGTAGCCCTCACACATTCCTAACTATATGGACTCTGCCACCATTTTTTGTTTGATTAGTGAACTAACAATATATTGAAAATACTATAGTGGTTATTGAATCACCCCATGCTTAGCAAAAATCGTCTATATGTTGCGGGTGAATCCTACGGAGGCAAACTTGTTCCCATGGTTGCCATGGAAATATTACTAGGTAGTATTCTATAAGAAAAAGCTTAGAAGATTTCATTCAATTTCTTCTTGTCATCCAACAAAGATTGATTAAGTTGTTACTCCTGATTTTAATGCAGGTAACGAAGCGGGATTACGGCCACGAATGTCCCTACAAGTATTGTTTAGCCCACACATTTATTTTTCAATACTATAACATTTTTTTTGTGTTAACGGTAGAGTACTTTGAAATCAAAACAGGGATACATTATTGGAAATGGATTAACAGATCCAAACATCGATTATAATGAACGAATTCCAATTGCTCACCGCTTGGCACTTATATCCGATGAATATTTTGAGGCAATCTTTTTTATTTAATTATTTTGATGATCAAATTTAGCATTTTGCATATTATTTTCTTGTAATTACGTGGCAAAATTTCAGCTAGCAAAAGTTAGCTGTGGTGGGAAATATGACAATCCTGATCCAAATAATGTGCAATGTCTTTTAGCCCTTCAACCTATCAAAGAGGTAACATTTTATCTTGTTTTGTTTTTCTTTTCCTTTGAAATTAAATATATATTTCATATCACTAAAAATTTCATGATCTATTGCAGTGTGTAAACCAAATAAATGAAGGTCATATATTGGAACCAAAATGTAAACGCCTACCAAAAACAGATAATTTTGGATGGGATCTTACATTTTCGAAAGACGATTCTGTTGATCACCTCGTCCTCCAAGTATCCAAACAAGATCGACAATGGTGTCGCGTAACTCAATTAATCCTCTCTCTCTATATACAAGTTGGCTTAAAATTTATTTTTCCAGAAAATAAGTTAATACTTACTTCTTCAGTAAGGAAAGAAATTTTTAAAACTACCTTTGGTAGAAAAGAAGCTTATAGCAATATTTACCTTTGTTTTCTAACTCTTAGACAAGCATGCTTCTCAAGAACTGATTTCTTTTCTACAGAGTCAAAACTATGAATCATGTTATGTTTGGGCAAATGATTTGACTGTCCAAGAAGCTCTTCGTATTAGAAAGGTATGTTAAATAAAAAAATATTGAAGATTAAGTATGCTTTACCATGTGCTAGCTATCAACTAAAACAAGATCATATATTTTATGAAAAATAATTTAGGTTAATCACGTATTTTGATTATCAGGGGACAATTGGAGAGTGGATGAGATGTAACCGCAGCATATCTTATGAAGTGAATCAAAAAAGTGTTCTTCATTATCATGAAATTTTCAGCAATAAAGGATATAATGTTTTAATATACAAGTGAGTCATAAGTTTCTTGCTTAAACTAAATTATGACTCAATTTGTTCTAAGTTTAGTCTTATCCATCAACTAAAATATATTTTCTGCCATATATTTCAATGTAGATCATTAATCTACAAACGTAACTAAACAAATTTGTAAATTTATCTATGTTTTCTAATTATGCTTATTTTCTTTCAGTGGTGATCATGACCTGCTGATACCTTATATGGGTCCTTTAAAATGGATTCGCAATCTCAGTATGACTATTGATGATGACTGGAGACCTTGGCATGTTAATGGCCAAGTCGCGGGGTTGGTTTCCATTTTCCGATGTGTGTGTGTGTCATATTTCCATAATTTTAATAAACTTTAAACCTTGTAGATACACAATGAAGCATAAGAAGAATGAATTCAACCTCACATTTGTAACAGTGAAGGCAAGAAATGTTTGACTATTCTCTTTCCTACAAAAATTTGAAAAAAAAAATTTCAAGAAATGAATGCGCGATTTTATTTTGCAGGGTGCAGGTCATACACCACCAGAGTACAAGCCTAAAGAATGTCTTGCGATGATACACCGGTGGCTCTCAACACGTCTCTTATAGGTATTGATAGACAAGCATGTTTTAGGGGTTCATTTGCACGGTGCAGGTCATATGACCTTACTTTTATTTAAGTTTGTTGGCCAACAGGCCCCACCGTATATCCCATAGAAGCATGGCTTCCTAATGACGTTGTCACATCATAACATGTTGATTCTCTTGAATATGTCAACCATAGTTTATACTAAAAAGAGAACTATGTGACTTTAATTCTAGAAAACAATCAGTTAAAAGAACTAAAACTTCCAATGACTTGATAAAATTATTTTTTTCTCTTTGAGATCTTCTTAATGTTATTCCTTATGGTTCTACTATTGTTGAATCATGAGGGACATTTTCATTACTATGTGTTTGATCTTTTAATTGTTATTCTTAAGCATTATTAGGTTGTAAAACTATCTTGAAAACAACAAAGCTAGAAGATGTAGGCAAAAGAATCTGTACCCTTGCTTTTTGAATAACTACTTTACGTGACTATTCACTCCCGCTAATTTCATCTTTTTCAATAAACCTAGCATTTCTAGATTCAATAATTCATATATATATATATATATATATACCCCATTTGTAATTCCATCAATTACTCGTCGATCAAAAAAATGAGTTAATTGAGCTAATTCTCTTACCGCCCCAGTTAAGGATGTTGTATAAAAAGCATCTAGTGCAGGTTACAGATTCGGTCAAGGGGAAGAAACTTATAATATTGCCGCTCATGGTTATTTTGGCCGATTAATCTTCAAATATGCTAGTTTCCTTTCGTGTAGGTCGGAACTTACCCGACAAGGAATTTCGCTACCTTAGGACCACTATAGTTACGACCGTCGTTCACCGAGGCTTCGGTCTCACGCTCTACCACTGAGCTAATAGCCTGTCGTGCGAGCCTCCTATTGGGGGCCTGCTATGCCCAAAGCGAGAGAAACCCCATCTCTCTCTTTCCTTTTTTCGCCCCCATGTCGCCACACGTGTGTGTGTGTGTATATATATATATATATATATTGTATAAAGGCAAACAGTTGTTTCTGGAATATAAGTTTCTCCTTCCAAACAATCTGGCAGAATTATCATAACGTAATTTTTCCAGAGTAATGGCATGACCAACAGGATCAAAAAAAATAAATTCGAGCCATCGACTTCACGATATTTTCTTAAAACGAAATTGCTACCTGCAATAGTGTTAAAGGCTTGCAGCAATCGTTTTCTAGGATAGAACGAATTACGTCTCATATGGAAGCAGCATAGCAATCTACAAGAGTTCCAATGAACACATCAAAGTGTTTTTACTTTGAAAATAATATCAGAACAAGAGAGAGAGGGAGTATGAGATTCAATGCATAGAATGTTTGCAATGAAAATGGTGTAATTTTTTTGATAGCGGGGCAAGCTATTTATAGACTTGTTCGTGGCCATTCTAACATCCTGCAGAATAGTCTTCACTGTTCAAAAAGCCTTCAAAACTCAAATAGACCTATGAGTACAATATCGTGTCTGTTAAGTCGGTTAACAGTGGACAGTTTAATTGGTTAACAGTCGATTATTTGGTCGGTTAACAAACGACTATTTAACAAACTATCTAGACTTAAAAATTACCCGAAAATAAGCAAAAAAATTAAATTTCATTAAGTACTCAAAAATTTGATTATTTACAATTTTCTCCAAAAAGTTAATATAGCGCAAGAGCCCACTCGTACTCGAACACGAACCGAATTGGACTCAGACACGAGCAAGTGCTCGTGCTCGTGCTCGTGCCGTGCCAAGCCAAGCCAAACCCGCCTGAAGGCGACAACGGTGTCGTGTGTGTGTGGGTTTATAACCGAACCCGATAGAATATAGGTTTCCTCCTTCCAAAGACTATTGGTACCGTTGGGACACAACTCCAATTTCCACACCATATAAACCACACTAAAGTTTCCTAACTTTCCTATGTAGGATAAGTGTTAGGCAAATCAAATTATTCCATATTCATAGTTTCAAGTAGATTACTTTGACATTCAATATTTCATCCAATTGTAAATGTTTTTCGACAAATAAATATATCACGTTAATCGCCTCGCGGAGTAGAAGGTGAATATATTAGGTCTCGTATTAATTAAAATGTGGGTCCCACTAAAACTGGGCTCAAAGTTGACCCATTTCACTAATAATTTTTCAACAATCCCCCACATAAATGAAATATGTCGGTCTTTTCCAAACAACAATATTTGATAAAATTTTTGAAGTAAAATTGAAGAAAACTGCATCGGGATAAGTAGCCAAAGGCTTTGAGCTTTTCCGAGTAAAATTTATTGAATTTACTTAGCCAATCAGTAGCAAATTGCTTTGAGCAGTCAGTCGTTCATGTAAATCTAGACAATAGAAGTCACACAATTCTCTTCAAACACAATTGATTCTCACATTTGTGTTCATTTTGGTTGGACACCTCCTGGTTCATGAGTATTTTTAGAGAATTCATCTTCACCTAATTCTTTTAGAAGGGGTACCTTCTCAACCACATATGTGGTTTCTATAAAGAGTATTCTACTGTACTCCACTTGAATAAATTAATATATAGAAACCATTAAATGCGTAACTTAACCTATCTCGCTGCAGTTAAGCACTGGCTCATTATGGGAATTGGTAGGAGTAAAAATCTCATTATGGGAATTGGTAGGAGTAAAAATCTCCCTAGTATGTAATAAGTTTTTCACAGTTCGGTGGTCCCTTTGAACTTAGATCTTGAGATCTCCAGTCAACTAGGTTAGGTTGCCAACATGGAAACTTTTTTATTACTGTATTGGTTTTAATCCCATCACCTTTAATGAACTTTCGACCTGCTCTCTTGTTAAACTTTTCGTTAGCGGATCCGTAATATTCTCTTTTGATTTCACATAATCTATAAAGATAATATCAGTAGAGATCAATTGTCTAACAGTATTGTGTCTACGATGTATATGTCGAGATTTACCGTTATACATAGCAATTTATGCCCTACGAATTGCTGATTGACTATCAGAATACATACATATCACAGGCATAGGTTTTATTCAACATGGAATATCTTCTAGAAAGTTTCGTAGTAAATGGCTTCTTCTCCAACTTTGTCTAATGCAATGAATTCAGATTCCATCGTTAATATAGCTATATATGTTTATTTTGAAGATTTACATGATACCACAGCACCTCCAAGTGTAAAAATATATGTACTTGTTAACTTGGAGTCTTTAGTATCTGATATCCAATTTACATCATAATATCATTCAAGTAATGCTAGATATCTCGAATAGTGCAATCCAGAGTTTTTGGTATTTTTTAAATACCCTAAAACTCTAACAATTGCAGGAACAAATCAATAAGGATAGAGAACATTGGAGACAAGTATTATTAAGAATAATATCCGTGGTTAGAACTCTGGCAGAAAATAATTTGGTGTTTCGTGGAGATAATGAGAAGATATACCAAGAAAATAGTAGTATTTTCTTAAGCTTAATTCAAATAATTGCTGAGTTTGATCCTGTAATACAAGAGCATATTCGTCGAATTCAAAATAAAGAAATTCATTATCACTATCTTGGACACAAAATTCAGAATGAGTTGATACTTATGCTATCGGGTGAGATCATGAAAATAAGCATCGAGAAATTCAAAGAATCTAGGGGCTTTTCTGTGATATTTGATTGCACTCCAGATTTGAGTCACGAAGAACAAATGTCTATAACACTGAGGTGTGTTGATATTTCAACAAGTCCAGTGAAGGTAAAATAATTCTTTTTAGAATTTTTATTGGTGGATAATACATCTGGAAACGGACTTTTTGATGAATTAGTGAATGTGTTAAATAATTTAGAACTTGATATTGATAATATAAGGGGTCAAAGATATGATAGTGGTGTTAACATGAAAGAAAAACATAAAAGGGTACATAATAGACTACTACAAGTAAATCCTAGAGCATTTTACAATCCTTGTAGGTGTCATAGTCTCAATTTTGCTACTTGTTGTACAAAAGCTAAATCTATATACTCTATTTTCATCATCTACTAAAAGATGAAAATTTTTTAAAGATAATGTAAATGGTCTTACTCTTAAGCCTTTGTCTCAAACACGTTGGGAAAGTCATGTTGAAAGTATTAGAGCAATAAGATTCTAAGTTCCACAAATAATAAATGCTCTACTTGAATTGGCAAGAGTTGATGATCCTAAGACAAAAAGTGAGGTGAAGTGTTTGGCAACATATGAAATAGAGAATTTTGAATCCTTACTCGTGATGGTTATTTGGTATGAAGTGTTGAATAATATTAATAGAGTAAGCAAACATTTGCAAACAGAGGACATCCATATTGACATTGCCATAGACCATTTAAAAGGGTTCATTTCGTTTTTCAAAAGCTATAGAGAATCTGGGTTTGAATCAATCGTGATTGATGTTAAAGAGATTACAAGTAAATTTGACATTGAATCGATATTTCATGAAAAAAGAGTTATACGTAGAAAGAAGCAGTTTGATGAGATTTCTTGTGAAGATATGACAGAAACAGTTGAAAAATCTTTCAGGGTCAATTATTTCTTATATGTAGTAGATTGAGCTCTATCATTGCTTCAAAATAAATTTGAACAATTTCAGAAATATGATGATATTTTTGGATTTTTATTTTATTTGGAAAAACTTAAATCCATCGATGATGCTACATTGAAGTGCTGTTGCATTTGTCTTGAAAATTATTTGAAGCATAACACAGTATTCGATATCGATGGAATGAAATTATTTTCTGAGATGAATATTTTAAGGGAAGCAATATCTATAGAAATGAATAGAGCAGTTGATGTGTTAGATTACATTAAAAGAATGAATAGTTGTTTTGCTAATGTTTGGATCGCTTAGAGGATATTATTGACTATCCTAGACACTGTTGCGTCTTCGCTGAAATAAGTTTTTCAAAGTTAAAATTGATTAAATCTTATCTTCAATCAACCATGTCACAAGAGAGGTTGAACGTGTTAGTTATGATTTCTATTGAAAAAAAAATGTCAGAAAAATTTGATTTGAGTTATTTGATTACTAATTTTGTATCTCAAAACCTGAAAAGACTAAATATGATGCTAGCCTAATCTCTCAGAATGTAAGTGATATTTTATTTAACAATTCCATATTATAGATTGTACAATTTTTTCATTTAAATATAGATTTTTTTTATTTAAATATTGTTATACGTGTAGAAAAACAAAGTATGGGTCCTCAAGATTGCCGACTCGCTTAGGGCCTCCGAATTGTCAGGGTTGGCTCTGAAATAGTACCACAACAAGTACCTCTTTTATTTTAGTTAACATAAAAGTACAAAAGTTAAGGACTTAAAAATTACACGTGTCAAGATTTAATTGCTACATCATGGAATAAAAGATGTTACTTGAGAAATAAAAGCATAAATCAAAGCTAGGTATCCAATATTAATGTTTGTCTAAGCAAAGATAATCTCGAGGACGAATTTCATTTGAGGTGTTGTGGTTCGGTTGGTTTTGTCAACTTAAAAATAAATAAATAAAATAAAATATTTTGCCTTGGAAGCTTGACTCACATAAGAAAAGAAAAGTTCAAATATAGAATTGATTAAAAGTCCAAAGATCTAACCATTTTAGTTGAAATAAATTTTAATCAAAGAAACTGTCAACTACCTAAGATATGGCACAATGGTCATCTACATGGCTCTCTAGCAATCCCCACCCAAGCTCAAGTCATCATGTAGATGTTCTTATTAAAAAACTTATAAGATTATTTTTGGACTTAAAAACTCTTCAAATTTTCACTTAAAAACTCAATATAAGAATGATTATTATTATATAACTCTTCTATTCAGTTTTTCAATAAAAATGGAAGTAAGAAGAGGAATGTCACTTTTTTACCCCCCACATCTCCTCGAATTCAATTTTCACTTTTCTTACTTTCAAATTTGTGTTAGTTTAGATTATTTACAAGAAATATTACCATAAGTTTGATTATTCAAGACAAATAATTTCTCATTTCATTTTAAGAATAAAAGTAGATGGTGGAAGTTGATTTTTCCCTATGAATATCTATGTATATTTTATGTGTATAAATATAATAGCAAGCAATAAACCGTAAAAGGTTAAATATCTTTTGCAATAACAGATTTCTATGATCCCAAGAATTCTTCAAAATTAAAAATTTCACAGCTAATCCAACTACATGGAAATATATGGTATGAAGTTTTTTTAATATTTTACAGGTGAATATGCATATTTGACTAAAGGGAATGCACCTATGAAGTTTTTACAGGGATTTATGTTCACGTGTACTTTATAAAACTTTTTAGATTGAGAAGGGATAGTGAATGAATGAAAATTGCATGGATTGTGGAGATGCCAAGGGGAGAGAAATCAAATCAAATACCAACGTTGAATATGCTTCTTATGTTTTAATGCTAAGACTAAGATAATGGATTTAAAAAATTATTTGTGTTTGAATCGTATTTCAATTGGGCACGAAATTAGATTTTATATGATTATATGAATTGACGTTTATTAAATTATGTTAGTATGGCATGTTAGCATATGTTTTAACATGAATATATGATTAGGTGTGTGGATTTGGACATTTGAAAACGTAAAATAGAAATTTTATAAAACTATCACTGAAAACCAAATTTTGCATATTATTGAATGAGACAAGTAGGTTATGAAAGCCCTATGCGTTGTGCTAATTAGCTTTGGAATCAAGTCATTTGAATGTCAATTTGATAAAATATGCCATTTTTCGTGTGCTGTATTCATTGTACTTACGAATATCTTTTGGCATGCGTGTTGAGCGTCCATTCGAAATCTTATTATATTATACTTGAATGAGTTTAGGAAATACTGTAAAATACTTCAACTATGCTTGATCTTTGGGTAGCACATTGCAGGGCTAAACTCTGTGAACGTACGCTAACCTTCATTTCCATCCTTATTTTAGTTTCATTTATTCAATAAATCAATTAACTAACTTAAATCATTTGTTTTCGGTACTTAAAAAACATGTTTTTGAAACAAATCCAACTCCTAATATCTGGAACATTACACTTATGGTCATTGCTTCGTTTATGGATTTATTTTTCCTATGAATATGTCACCAATTTTCAATTTTTCATATAATTTGATGTATATATATATATATATATATATATATATATATATATATATATATATAGAGAGAGAGAGAGAGAGAGGACTTTGCAAAACAATGTTGTTTTATAACTATATTACTAAAATATTTTATGGATAAATCTACGTGTACATAATTTTTTGTACAGAAAGATGTCCTACACTCACATGGGATGGGGTCTACCATAATAAAATATTCGAGTAAACCTCATCCGATGTGAGCAGAGGACACCTAGATGTACAAAAAATTATGTACATCAAGCAATGCCCATATTTTATATATGGGAAATGATATCTTTTGCTCCAACGGTGAATGAAATATATCAAACTTGAAAATGAATAATAATCTAATCAATCCCCAACAAGTTAATAGTGCAAATTAAAGAAAACGAGGTTTGCAAATATTCAACACATGATGAAATTCTCTATCTTTTTTGTTGAGAAAAAAGAAAAAATTGACATTCTTTCAATTGTTGAACAGAATATGAAGAGAACCACCAATTGTTTTCGCAATTCTCCGAGCCTCAGATTTAAAGTTTTCTCACTTGTGGCTATTGCTTCATTTCTTGATTTATAATATTCAATCATTTGGGGATTTTATTGGTGAAATGAAGTTTGAGATTTTTTTTTTATAGGTGTAGGGCTTTATTTGTACTCATCTTCGATAACCCTTTATCGATGAAGGATGGAGGCGGCGAAGCCACACGACAATGATCTGCTGTCGGAGATTTGGCGCTTGAAAAAGAAAGAGACGTTGTATTGAGAAGGGAAATTCCTGAATTGTATGGAAGATCAAAGAGTTTATATCCTGAAAATTCATTTGAACTTTTTCTTAAAATATTTAAAATGAGCCCTTAGGCTCGTATGGTACTCTTTTTTGTAAGAATGAGAATGAAAACACAAGACATAGAAAGTCAAATATTGGGGGGACGTTTGTTTCCCATTTTTATAAAAATGAGAATGAAAAATATAGTCGTTATGAATCATATACAAGAGATAGAAATTCATATTTGGTAGCTTGATGTGATGAATAACGATCATATTTTTCATTTTAATGAGGAAAGAATGGAAAACAAACCGGAGCATAATGAATTGATGTGATGGATAATGATTATATTTTTAATTTTGTGGCCAAAAATCTCGTTTGGTACCCATTTTTTTAAAATACATTTTGCTCTTTCTTTTTTTCAACTACACATTCTTTATTAAAATATTATTACACGTAAATAAAAAAATTATTCCTCACTTTTTAATCACATATTTTTTATTAATTTATTATTCTAAAATATATTTTTACATGAAAATGAGTTACAACGCCCTATGAAAATCAAACGGGGTTAAATATATGTCACATTTACCACGAAAAGAAAAGTTTTTAAAAAATATCTAAGAAGGGCTTAATCATACTCTCCATGGAAATAGCAGTCACTATCAGGAACTGATCGACGCGCTTATCTATTTCAGATTTTTTGCCTGAATTTTGTTTTTCATAATTCCCTATTTCTCAGGGACAAATTGTCGTCAGTGTTTCCGTCACAGTCAAAGGTATGCCACCAATTCGCTCTGATGTGTATTCAGCTCAAGAATTTCTTTTTATTTTCCACCTTTTAAGATCAATCTATGATATGTATTGCATTTTGTTTTCATCTTTCAGGTTCTTTTTAAAAAAAAAATAATAATAAAATAAAAAATTGTGGCAGCTATGCTATTTTCCAAAATTATATCTGTGCAATTTTGGCACTTATATACAGAAATTATTAAAGTTTGATCTTCTTTTTCATTTTATTTCCATTAAAGTTTTGAGATTTCGAGTTCACCCAAGATGTTGAAAATTTGATAGATATAACCTCAAGGCTCTGAAGAGATCTTTGATTTCACTGAGGAGAACGATAAGTCTAGAAGGGGCTATTTCCATCTCCTATTCCCCTAAATAAAAATCAATTTGTACAATTTTTTCCCTAATTATGCTTGTGTACTGATTTCGCTACTGTTTCCTATCATTTGCTTACTGAAATGTGTCATTTCTGAATTAAAAACTTCTGTTTACTTCCCTCTTCCTATTAGTGTTTTGCCCTGTAGTGTTGCAGTTTTTTCTGATATTGCTTCCAAAAATGCCATTATCTGAAATTTCTTTTCTTCTATGTATATGACGAGTCAAAGATCTGCTTATAGAGTTTTACATGGTTTATTGATTTAACGGAGTGCAGAAGCCACCACTCTTGCTGTGTGGTTTAGCATAACATCTTATAGGCTTAGGTGATATTCTTAATAAGGATAATAAAGGATGAGTACATCATTTTGCTAGGAGCCCAAGTATCTCTATTTCCGCATCAAACATAAATTTGTCAGATGTATTAATCTGAGGGACAATACATTCTAATTCTTGTGTTTCCATCACTTAAATTGCTCCGCTTGTTAAGAGTAGAACGTTTCTCCTTTTTTGCAGTTCTATTGTTTGACTACTTCAGGCAAATGGAAATGACTAGTGATGTCAAAAGTTCTGGTGAGGAATTAGTTGGTTCCAGGGTAAAGGTCTGGTGGCCCAAGGACAATAAGTAAGTGTTAGGGAATAAATCTTCCTTGTAGTCATTTCTGTTAAATCGCTGTTTATAGTTTCTTGTTAACTGTCATATTTCTTAACGTGCTTAATTTTTTGATATAGCACTCCTGTTTTCTTTTGGCATTTCCAGTTGAACTTGGAAATTGTGTCAACTTACTTCGTTCTTCTGTAGTTTTCAAATAGAATAATAGTAATCGTGGACATTTTTCATAATTCAAATTCCGGTTTTACAGATTCTGTGATGGGGTTGCTGCATCCTATGGTCTTTCAGGAAAGAAAAACTTGGTAGGATGTGAGGCCAGTAATTTTAATGGCTGGTGATAATTCTTTTGTAATTGAGGCTATGTTTGAGCCACATTTTTTCAAAAAAAATATATTTTTAAACAGTGATTTGATATCATTTCAATCACATATTCTTCAATAAAATAATATTACACGCAAATTCAAAACTTTTCTTTATTTTTTAACCACACATTTTCCATCAATACACTATTCAAAAATGCATTCTTAGGAATATAATGTGGCTCAAACAAGGGCTGAATGTAGTTAAAGTTTTATGCTAGTAGTTCAATCTTTCTGCCACTGTTTTATATTTAGGCATATAATTTATGAAGTCTGGATTTTTATATCACCTACAATGTTATTATTTTTGCTTTTGCTTATTTCAACACCACCTGTAGGTGGTCTATACCAATAGCGTTGAAAAAATTTTGAAAAGGGAACCAGTTGAAGATGTTTCTTTTGATCAAGTAGGCAACTCTTGATTTAGTATCCTTCTCTTCTTTGGATTGTTCTTTCTCAATACACATTTATGTTTACTCCTATGTTTACTGTAGGAAAATACATGCACTTCAGCCCATGCTCCATCTTCTATGTAAGTGTCGTTATATATTAGGCTTTGCCTTTAATTTTCATATGTATTTTAAATAATTTTGGCTACAATTTTCACACTTGGAAAGAAATGTTGGGAGAACCCAATTTGTATATCTTGCTAGTCATCTGAATTTTGTTCCTTCCCTTTTCATGTTATGAGAAAAGGAAAAGGGCTAGAAGATATATATACTTTCCGATTTTACCTGAAATGTTTTTGAATTTGATACTAACATTACCTTGAGGTTTTGTTTCAACCTTGGATTTCAACATTGGAAATAGAAGTGAGAAGCTATTCCTAACCTTTCTCTTCTGCCAAAATACAACACAAATTTTTAAATTTCTTAAAATACAGTCCTGCAATTGCTAAACTGAAGTAAACCTAACATTTTTGTTTGAGTTTTTTATTCCTCATTTGAAACTTAATCAGCTAAAACACTCTTTTTTGCATAGTGGGGGGTTTGTCAAGGAAGATGATAATATCATGAACGACCTTAAAAGAGTATACAAGTATTTGAACTTGTGACCCTTTCTTCAAGCCTGAGTATCTTCATCGCCACATCAACCTTATTTGTCCCAGTAGCATTAGCTCGAGTTACTGTGCAGTCTATTTGATTATCCCTGTTTTATGCTCTCTAACTTGTGAAAAGCAGAATTCTAGGAACCATACGAGCCATTGTCTTCTTCCCTCGCTTGAAATAATTTTCTTACATTCAGGATCCCCGAATTGGCTACAGATGTCAAAGATCATGGCGAGGAATTGATTGGCTGCAAAGTTAAGGTTTGGTGGCCTAAAGACAAAAGGTGACTGCTCTAGAATGCTGCCAGACTGCTCTAGATATCTGTTGTTTTGCTTTTTTTAGTTAATGATACATCCTGTTACTTTACATGCATCATTTTTTGTTATACCACTGCCCTTTTTCTCCCGCCAAGTGCTCTGGGCTCTAATTATCAAGGGATATTCGATGAAGTTTTCCCAATAAAAAGATCTCTGTTCATTAGTTCTCGCTTGACTTCTATTTTGCAGGTGTCGTGAGGGGGTTGTTGCTTCCTATGACCATTCAGGAAAGAAGCACTTGGTAAGATGACTCTCTAAGCTAGGACAGCAATTTTAACTGCAGAGTATTTTTTATGCATTCCTGAATGTAATCCGAAGTATCTAATCCTTTTGGTCCCTTCCCCACCTCCTGTATGAAGGAATGTATAAGCCATGAACTTAGTATCCTCTGGCTTCATTATCTGCTTACCGACATCTTCTGTTAGGTGGTTTATACTAATGGCGTCGGAGAAATGTTGGACCTAAGAAAGGAGCATAGGGGAACGGTTGTAAGCAATCCCTAGATTCTGCCATCTTTCCTTTCTTTGTTTTTTCTTGCCTCTTCGAAATTTGTCAGTTGCTTATGTGTAATTATGTTTACAACAGAACCAAAAAACAGGCACTCCAGCTCATGCTTCAGCTTATGTGTAAGTGTCTTCAATTATTGGCCATGACCATTGATTTTGTACAAGTTTCTCTCTTGAAACAAATGTATTGCTATTTAAGCATATTTTTTGGGGGAATATAGTTACTATTGTTACCCATGTTTCGAACTGCAAATGATAGCAGGTATCATGGGAAATCTGAGGCTGTAACTATAGGGTTATGATATGTTGAATTGCAGGAATATAGATCAAAGTTCCTTGGCTATTTTACCTTATGCTAGCACAGATATTAATATTTGATTCATAAAATTCTAATTGTGGGATCATAGGCTCAGCTACAATGTGTACCTTTTTCTTTATATTGAAGATAAACTGGTGTCAATGTGTATTCAAATTGCTTAAAATAGCTGTGAAACTGAAACCTATGGAACACCTCAGTACTTAGGCCCTGTTTGAGCCACATTTTTTAGAAAAAATACATTTTAAACAATGATTTGACATCATTTCAACCACACATTCTTTAATAAAATAATTACACGTAAATCCGAAACTTTTCTTTATTTTTAACCACACATTTCCTATCAATACACTATTCAAAAATGCATTTTTTTAGAATAATGTGGCTCAAACAAGGGCTTATTACACAATATCAGAAACGTGTTTTGTTACCGTATCCTAGTATTTATTGTCAGACATGAGTAAAACTCTCTCTACACACACTTGTGTCCTGGCACACATGTTATTGACGCTTTACAGGTACACTTGGCAATTTGCATTTATGCATATCTGCGATGAATTGAGCATTTTAGATTTAGGAACTGAAAGCAGTGGTAGGGGTGTGTACGTGTGGCAATAACATGCCAAGTCTCAATGAGTTTTTTAGTTTTTTCACGCACGTACATCCACCACTACAGATTTCATATTGCCACAGCTTCATAGTTGATCTATTAAAGAGTTGGTAAGATTTGGTAATCTGTACATTATCGACCAGCTCACTCATCAATTGATAGCATTCTTATTAGCTGATACCAAGACCGAAAATTCCATAAAACACACAATATCTTAACTGATGACAATGATGGTGGATGCAAAGGTGCCTGAGCCAAAGCTTTATGGATCTATTATTCATAGGGATGGCAATGGGCGGGGCGGGTGCAAGTCGCCCATTTCCATCTCTCGTCCTGTAGAGTATTTTTGTGAGCTTGTTTCGTCCCCATTCGCAATTAAGGCGGGGCTGGGTGGGACAAGGTGGGTCCCTTGTCACATCTACGATTCCGTTTAATTTTTTTTGTTCGTTTTATTTTTTGCTTTTTTCTGTATATCTTTAATCGGTGAAAATTAGTACCTTTTCCAATTTGTTAAGAAGAAATCCCTTTGCCTTTAGAAATGATGATAATTCTTTTCTTTTTGTTTAATAAAAACTTAAATTTAGAATAAACTTTAATCGGGCCGGGTAGCGGAGTGGGGATCGTGTTTCCCATACCCGATTTCGCACAATGATTCCGCCCCCCCCCCCCCCCCCCCCCCCCCCCCCCCCNNNNAGGTCCCCCCCCCCCCCCCCCGGCAGCACCTGCCCCGGGGTCCATTTACTTGATTAGTTGGGTAATTCTTGTCCGGTTTGGGATGGGTCCTGCAATTATCGGGTTTTACTGACATATAATCTAACAATATCATAACTTCTGTGCCCTTTTAAGTTTTGTATTTTCATCAATGTCTTTGATGTTCTATTTTTATAATTTTCCTTTTCTAGGATTTCATATCATATATAAAACTTATTGTTTGAGTGATTGCTTTTTACGATGACTTTATAGTCATAATAAACATTTTTTACCAAATACAGTTGTTTGAGGTATTAAGTTTGTTTTTTAATGAGTAGAACTGGCAACACTATTTAATTTATTGGATGAATTGGAAGTGTTACGGAAATTACATGATTATTACATACCTTTTTGACAGCAGTTGTAGCCCCTATTGGGTTACCTTTTTAATTGCTAAAAAGTTGCTTTTCAAAGTCAAACATTAATTTTAACCACACATTTCGTAGGACCCACACAGTCTCATCAATACTTTTGGACCCATTAATAACTTTCATGGCTTGCTGATATGCAGGACGGGTGATGATGACATGGAATCTCATTGGCATGTGAGGAAGAAGCTCAAGGTAAGTTGGCATTATTGGAGGCAAATGTCTCTGGTGCACATGGAAGTGTATTTGTTTGCTTTGAGAAGTTTTTGAGAGCACATTCTTACCATCTATACTAGTATCGAATCTTCGAGAGCGGATTCTTACTATCTATACAAGTATTGAATCTGAGAAATGTACATTTTATGACATAATATCTATTTTAGAACTTTCCTGGGAGGTCTGCTCCCTGTCCAGCATCGCATCAGTTGCTTCTACTCTTTCTGTAGTGGTAGATACTTCCAGGACTTCTTTCAGTGAACTATGCTATATAATTATTTCATGATAGCCGTAAATGGAATCTAATGATTATTCATGGGAATAATCCTATGTAGCTTTGAGAGCCTGTGACATGAAGATATATTTGCAGCTAATAACTTGTTGCTGAAGGCAATCTGTGATTGCTTTGAAGTTTAATTATGTTCGCAAAGCAGTTAACTTTACACCTGAACATTTTTAACAGGGACAACCATTGGAACTTGTAGTGCCATCTACGAGGTAACTATGTTGCGTCAATATTACGTACGAGGATTTATGCATTAGTCCTTATGTAGAAACCTTTTGAGCTATTTATCATATCACTTGTAATCCGTGCAGGTCAGAAGATGAGAAAGAGAAGAAACTGGAGAATAATATGCAAGGTGATAATGAGCTGGTTAATTTCAAAGGCTACAAAGTGAAGGCCAATAATATATCCGTACTTGAGGCCGTATTTTCAAAATACGGTGATATTGCAGCTAATTGTTTGTACAAGTCGACAACCGTAAGAGCTTCTTTACTTGATATCGTATCTGATGTTGTTAAACGACTTCAATATTATGATGTTGAAGACATTTTAACTGAACTTAAAGTATTGGATGACGAAGTCTCGGATTTAGAGGCTACCAAGATAGATGTAGCATGGCTGCATCAGCATTTAGCAAAGGTCCATGAGTTTGCAGCGTGTTATGATAAGACGCTGTTGCTCAAGGAGGCGAAAGCGAACAGCAGACTTGTCCTTGGTGCATCGAAAAAGGAGATGTTAAAAAGGCGCGCTGAGCTTGTTGCTGCACAAGAGCGCTTTAAAGACGCCGAGAAACGGGTGAATGCCATGAAACTCGTTGGCGAAAGAATCGAGGACGACGTCCAAAAGGCCACGGCTAAAGAGGACTTTTCGAGAAAGCAGTTAGAAGGGCTTCTTTAGACTGCCTTGTTCTCTGTTGCACTGTGAGATGATGTATGAAATGGTTTGTAATAAATTGAATTGTATTACGAAACTTTATAGTCTTATTTTGTGTAAAATTGGGGAAAGCTATCTCAATAAATGAAGTTTTATTTTCAATACGGTTACAATATATTTCATTCCATTGAGTCGACTCTGCAAAATTCTTGAAGGATTTAGATCGATAAGTAACTTGTATGTTTCATGGTTTAAAAGGTTTATTATGTTAAAGATAAAATTTTATAGTAATTAAAACATTGGTTGAGTTACTTATGTTGTAACTTGTCAATTGTTAAAATATTTGGTTAAACATTTGTTTGCCTTCAAACAAATCATAATCTAATTAACACAAACATGCAAAAGGTTTTTGTTAGATAATCTGTCATTTTGTCGTAGGATTGGAATCATTATATAAAATCTACAAATAGTTTAAGGGTCATATTAACAAAATCAATATTTACTTTTTCAATGCAAAATTGATGTGTGTGTGTTTAAAGACTTAGTAAAACATTACAAACTCGCAAGTTTTTTTTTTATTTCCCGACCCTCAATGGTCAAATTTTACTTTCATCACTCGTAAGATTCATACAACCACAAACTTATTATTTTTAAATCTTTTCTTAGTTTGTGATCAAAGGCTAAATCTTTATATTAACTCATCTCCTCTCTAGTTTAGATGGATCTAACAATCGCATGTCAATACTTCAATAAATAAGAATTTTCCAAATTTTAATTGCTTCTACCTCCAATCTCAACTAGATTAAGAATCCTTTTTCAAAAATCTAATTTTCTCAAATAAGTGTTTGGGATATAATCAAGATATGTAAAAAGTAAATACATAATAATAATTATTATTATTTATCTTATGTGCAAAATTCTCTCCATTAAACTTTCTAAATAATTCTTTTAGCAAGTTTTAGGCCAATGACTTCCAAGTTAGATGATTTTAGGACACTAGATTTTTAGATACCCTTAAAAGCTTAATCAATCGAGTCGTAAAAGCTACGAAAATACGTTTCATAATGAGATAGTTTTTCTTCTCTATTTTCTTTTTTACCTTTTATTTTCCTCCTTTTTTTTTTTTTTTTTGCCCATGGTCACTTCAATGTCCCTCATTAAATACCCATTCTCAAACAACGAAACATAATTTAAAATTTTCACCTAATTTCATCATATTAGCCTTAAACAATCCACACAAAAATTTAAAACATAGAATCCCCATTCATAGTCATATCTCCCTACAATACTAAAATCACCCTCAAACAATTTTAAATTTGGTCAAATGATGTATATTGCAATCTTTTTTTGGTTTAGCATTTATGTCTACTGTTGACCTTGCGAATTGGACCTCCTACGTGGCCAACCGGTAGCTGCTCCACGTGATCCTCTCTGTGCACAATCAACATACAGTCAGACGCACACGCCCGGAACCAGTTGGGGTGGTGGCGGTCACATACACTCCGATGGTCAAATTAGTATCCGGTGATCGGAACATTGCCCGAGTTGTGCAAGAGGGTGGGGATGAGATTATATATATTTTCTTGTTATGGAGAGCTAAATTACAAGAGTTTCATTACCTTTTCCTTTTGTCAAACCTTGGACATTTATAAGTGAGGAGAACTGTTAGATGTGGGACACATGTATGCATCTAACAGTGTGAAACGTCTGCTCATAGGAGTCAATAAGCCTCATCCATAGTGTGGGAGGGTAATAACTTCTCCTGAGTTGAGTTGAAATAAAGTTGATATATCACATCAACTAGACCTTTGGAGAAGTAAAATCAATTAAGCCTTGGGGGTAGAGAGGATCTTGACACAGATCTCTTTCTGAAAGTAGCAGCGGAAGGAGAACCTCGAAGTGCATTGTGCTTCGGCATCAAGGACACTTAGGTTGGTTCGGTAGAATTGTTTTGTGCATCGCAGTGCGTTAGCAACACGCGGACATTGGTGGTGGAGTCACTTCGAAACCACTTCGGGTTGGTGGTAGATGTCTCGTATGGTGCAGTGGTAAACTTTTCGAAGTGGTTCAGATAGAGGCGTAACAGTGGTCCTCCCAAGTTTAGGCATAAATATTTATATTATGGGTAGACTTGTTTTTCCGATCGAGTATGTCTGCCTTGGTTTGTGATAGAGAACTGGTGTGGAAGGGCGAAGTGTGTAGATAGCCCGAAAGCTTTTGGATCGATTTTTGTGTTCACCGAAGAGATGGCGTTGGGAAAAGGCCAAAGCCTTGTGCGGCTCAGGATCGGGATACATATCTGACCGAGGCGATGACCTACAGAGACGATGCATGGGAAATGCTAAAGCTTGTGAAGCTGAAGATCGGGACACATTGTTGACTGAGGCGCTAAAGCTTCGTTGCTGCCTAAGGAAGGAGCTCATCCTCCAATGATGTACTGACCCACAGGGACGACGCTTTGGGAGATGACTAAATCTTTGTAAGCTTAGGAGGGAATGCATGACCGACGCGATGATACACAGGGGACTCCGCGTCGGCAGCGTCTAAGCTTTATAAGCTAAGTGGGGAGCTTAACTGCCACCGGTGTGCTGAACCACAAGGGACAACGCGTTGGGGGATGGCTAAATTTTTGTAAAGCTTAGGAGGAACGCAGCTACCAAGGCGATGACCCACAGGCGACTCCGTGTCAGGTGCGTCTAAGCTTTGTAAGATAAGAAGAGAGCTCATCTGATACTGGTGCACTGACCCATAGTGGACGACGCGTTGGGAGATGGCTAAATCTTTGTAAAGCTTAGGAGGGAATGCATGACCGAGGCGGTGACACACAGGGGACTCCGCGTCGACAGCGCCTAAGCTTTGTAAGCTGAGTGGGGAACTCAACTGTCACTGGTGCGCTAAATCACAGGGGACGACACGTTGGGAGATGACTAAATCTTTGTAAAGCTTAGGAGGAACATAGCTACCGAGGCGGTGACCCACAGGGGATTTCGCGTCAGGCACGTCTAAGCTTTGTAAGCTGAGCGGAGAGCTCGTCTGATACCGGTGCGCTGACCCATAGGGGACGATGCGTTGGGAGATGGCTAAATCTTTGTAAAGCTTAGAAGGAACGCAGCTACTGAGGCGATGACCCACAGGGGACTCCGCGTCAGGTGTATCTAAGCTTTGTAAGCTGAGTGGAGAGCTCATCTGCCACTGGTGCACTGACCCACAGGAGACGACACGTTGGGAGATGGCCAAATCTTTGTAAAGCTTAGAAGGAATGCAGCTACCGAGGTGATGACCCACAGGGGACTCCGCGTCAGGTGCGTCTAAACTTTGTAAAGCTGATGATTCCGATCTAAGGCGAACATTTATGACGTGAAATGATTTGACAGTTGTCGTACATTTTCAAGGCGACAGCTGGGTGTGATGCCCATTCCCAGACAAGGCTGCTGCGGCTACTTAAATAATAAACGGCTGATGGTGATCGAGGCGACGCGTTTTATGCGAGCGTGAGGGTCACAGCTTGATCTTGGACGTAGATCAAATCTTGCGTTTCGTATCAACGGCTCAGATTTATGATGCGATGGACAGTCTAGATTGATTGTGTTTGAATTCAACGGTGGAGATTAGTTGGGACGCTCTATAAAAGGCGAACTTGAGATTTTAGCAGTTTTTCACTTTTGCGAAATCAAAAAATCCATTTCCTCTCAAAATTCTTGCGTTTTTCGGCGTTGTAAAATCGTTCTCCGGCCACATTTCCAATTTCCAACGATTTCACGTTGGGTGTTGATCTTTTCCGACAGTAGGTCCCTCAGTTTATTAAGTTTCAGTAAGTATTTTCCCAAGTTTTTTCACATTTTTCTATTCTGCAATGGCTTCGGATGGTAGTGGGGCTTCGGGAAGGGATTTAGAGGTGGTGAGGGTGGATGAGCCTATCTTACCAATGCCTAGCGAGGTCGTCGAGGTGATATTGGGGGGGAAAAATACTTGGAGAAGGCCTGACAGCCGGGTAGATACAACAGAACACTGGGGGCTTCAGATTACCCATCGAAATTGAAGGAGGCTGATCTGGGTAGACTTAGGGCTGAATATATGATACCTGATAGTGTAGATCTGATATTACCGGAGCCTGATGAGTGGGCATGCTATCCTAGGCCGGGGTGTGTGGCCGTGAGTGAGGCACTTTTTAGGGCTGGACTTAGGCTCCCTCTCTATCCCTTCTTTAGGCTAGTGCTGAGGTCGTATGGGTTAGCTCCAACCCAGCTGAACCCGAACTCTTAGAACCAAATGGTGGGGTCCTGGATGTTATGGAAGGAGGTGTCGCTCGGGGTAGAGATGCCCTTCTCGATTTTTCAGACCCTATACATCCCTAAGGTAGCAGTTGGAGGGGACAAGACTAGGGAGTGGCATTATCTGACCTCATGAGGTTCCCATACTCTATTCATGCTCGATCTCCCGAGCTCCATTAAAGAATGGAAGAGCTCATGGTGCTGGACTGTCGGGAGATGGGATACAACGGAGGGGGACCCCCTGGCACCTCTTACGGTCCCCACACAAAGTATTCCACACTTAGTGAGTACTATTGGCTTGCACTTTTATTTATTCTTCTTCCGTTCGGATCCTAACTGCTCTTTGCTTTTTTGAAGGTACCCTTCCTCGATGTGAGATATCCACAGACGACTTCGACATAATTTGCATTGTCTACTAGCTGCCCCCGAAGAAGAGGTTATATCACGAGCTGATCAGGAAGAACATTCATTTCGTAACACACGACCTGATGGCTTCCCAAGGTAGATTTATGAAGTGGACATGTCGCGTAGGTTTTTCGACCTCTTCATGCTTATAATAATTTGTTTGTTCCTTTACAGATAACTTCAACAAGAAGAGGCCTCTGAGGCCTGACTTCAAGGCAATTCAGAAGATGATGGTCGAGGCGAGGGCCTTGAAGACCTCCTCATCTACTTACAAGAAGCAGATGAAGGATCTGGTTGATGCCACTAAGAGGATTCAGCCTCAGGTGGATGAGGACGTCGAAGAAGACCCTGAGGCGAATCTGCTGAGGAAAGACAAGAAAGCTGCGGGCTCTTCAAAGGGGCCCACCGTGGCGAGGCCAACCCCAGCCTTGAGGCAGACAACAATCCCAATCGGGATGGCCCTAAGGGAGAAGTTTGCTGAAGCTT